TTTTGCCTTGGTGAGGAGACAAAAGACGCATTGCCAGTATTGATGTTGCAAACTTCCTTTTCGCTTGCAATCGCTTTGAATTCGTTTTTATTTCTGCCGGCTAGGTCTGTTTTCTTTTAATTCTTTTAGCTGAAGCCAACTAAGAACCGGGGTTTTCCGCTTCAGCAGCGACTTTGAGGACTGACCTTGGTGGGCTCGATTGCTCGAGACTTTTTCATAGGGGCGGGTTATTTCGTTGGTAAAAGTGTCATTGATGTCCATGTTTTTTCGAATCAAACATTGGATTTGTGCCGGGTCTTATAAGCGTGGTTGCTAAAAGACAGCATCATTATATTTTCATTCCGCTCAGACTGGGGTTCACTCGCTTCTTCGCTTCCAAATTTGTCATGCATTGTCTTAGATATTTGCTTCCCCTTTTGGAGGGTGGACTGAGGTACCTTGCTTCAAGCTCTACGATTTTGCTCCCCTGCATAAATCATGTGCATGCGCATTACCACTGCAGGTACAAATTTGATGTGGTGTTTTCCCTTCACCGAAACAGTTCAGGCTAGTTTCATCTGCGTCATCATTTTTGAAGAGCTTTTGTTACAGCCCTGCCAAAAAATTGTATTATTTGTATTTCTCCTAGAGTAAACATAATTAATAAAGCGAAGTATATCCGCGAACAAGTCCAATATAATTCCATATCACCGGTTTCGCGTTTTACGTTGGACGCAATGTTAAAGTTTTACGTAGTACTATGATTGGAAAACCTCCAACACGTCGTTACGTCATGCGTGATCAAGCTCTGGATAAAATTCGGAAAATTGCCAGAGTGAAAAGAGCATGCCCTTGATGATAAGAATAATATATAATTGGGCAGCGGAGTAGTGCACAGTTTTGGGGACATCAGCCTCCTTTTGTCAGGCTCAGCTCTCGTAACTCGACTGCAGCCAAGTAAACCTCCGTTTGTCAGGCTCAGCTCCTGTCACTCGACTGCAGCTGAGAATGTGTGATGATAGAGACAATGAGATGGAACTGAATTTTTCAGAACGGTGGAGTTGTCACATACTTGCCCGAAAGAGGCTGCATGATTGCATCGTACCTCAGCCTAGTCACCTAAATGGAATCTGCCATCACCGTATGACAGCTTCCACGGCGCATCGCAAGTTAAACCAGATAAACGACAGAAAATGGTCTTTCCTAGCTTGCCAAAGACTGTATAAGTCTGTGTAAAGCTGTCCAAGACTACCCAAGTCTGTTCTAGTTTTCCCAAGTCGATCAAAAACCACCAAAGGCTGTTTAAAGGCTGCCAGTCTGCCCATCAAACACAATTCCTATTTCCTACCTCCATTGATGATGTTTGAACAGGAAGATAGCTGCTTTCCAACGACGCATTTTAAACAACGAATTGCTTAAACACTATTTCCTCACCTTATGGTGGCTGTTCAGCGAAAAATACAACGTGCTGTTGCACGATGGTTTCGCGGGATTGGTGAGGCGTCTGCACAAAGGCCTCTTCTCCAGCCCAGCCTTCGTCGAGAGGCAATTCAGCCTGTTTGTCTGTCCACGTGCGAGAACCCTCTCTGTAACGGAAGGGCGGCGGATCTCATCGGGGTCCTCGGTGCGCGGGGGCTCAAACCAGTAGTGGAGATGGATTTTCAGACAGAAGTAGTTTGATAAAGGCCAAGAAACACGAAGGTGATTGGTACCTGAAATCAAACGTGGCAAGTACTGCAGCTGGGAATTATTTGTGAGTTCCGCCAGTGCACATAAGGTATGCCGTATTGTTATGCCATGACCTGCATCGATATTCGCATCGAACAGATGTGATGATCATTATCTTGACTGATTAAAAAAGCAAGGGAAGACTTGGCGCAGCATGGCAATGGCTAATGGGGATGCAGTGCGCGGAGAAAGCTGAGATGAACATCCTCTTTCGAGGTGCGATAGATGATTTTGATTTGATGAATTGATGCGAAAAGAGTATGAACTATGGCTGCCTTGAAGAATCACACATTTCATTTTCTCCTTGAACGTCAGCCATGCTCTAAGACGGCTTTAGAGCCATGCCCCGCACAGCTCTACTGGTCGTCGCCGATAGCACAGAAAAATACCCAAAGATCCACCAAAGGGCTGGATAACCGACTTTTTGACAACAACGCAGAGTTTAGATCGAACTCCAAAACCCCGGAGATTTTGCTGGCCGTGTTTACCGTACTTACCGTCCATACTGCTCGCGATGCAATGTCTGATTTTGAATGAAGGAAGCGTGACGTTTTTATCGTGACCCGCTGTATGGACAGTCAACAACCATGATAGTCACATAGCCCAGGAACTTTGCCGCCACCAGGATTTGAACACAGGTCTCCGCGCGGGAGCCACTCTGCCATGGCGTCCCGAAATCATCCACACTAGCTGACCAGCCATCGGGCTGCCGGCTTCGGAGGCTGCCATGGTGAGCTGTCGAGTCGTGTTGTTTTACCGTGCGTCGCAGTTTGACCGGCGGCGGCCCCGCCGACAGGACCAGCTGACGACTGACCCAGGCGGCCCCGCTGACAGGACCAGCTGACGACTGACCCGGACCGGCCCCGCTGACAGGACCATCTGACGACTGACCCAGGCGGCCCCGCTGGCAGGACCAGCTGACGACTGACCCGGACCGGCCCCGCTGACAGGACCATCTGACGACTGACCCAGGCGGCCCCGCTGACAGGACCAGCTGACGACTGACCCGGAGCGGCCCTGCTGACAGGACCATCTGACGACTGCCAGGCGGCCCCGCTGACAGGACCAGCTGACACTGACGACTGACCCGGAGCGGCCCCGCTGACAGGACCATCTGACGACTGACCCAGGCGGCCCCGCTGACAGGACCATCTGACGACTGACCCGGAGCGGCCCCGCTGACAGGACCATCTGACGACTGACTCGGAGCGGCCCCGCCGACAGGACCAGCTGACGACTGACCCGGAGCGGCGCCGCTGACAGGACCAGTTGACGAGTGACCCGGAGCGGCCCCGCTGCCAGGACCATCTGACGACTGACCCGGAGCGGCCCCGCTGACAGGACCATCTGACGACTGACCCGGAGCGGCGCCCTGCGGGCGTGACGCTCCTCGTTAGAGCTCTGTGCAGCCCTGGCCCCACACAGTGCTCGGCTTCTGGCGGGTCGCTGCAGCAAATCAGGAATTTGATGGGCCGCCGCGCGACAACCGATTACACTTCGCCATGATAGACATTT